TCAGGCAATCCACTCACCTCAGCCTCCCAAAGTGCTGGGATTACAGGCTGAGCCACTGAGCCCAGCCCTTTTTATCATTTAGATGATCAACAACCCCACTCCTGCCTGCTGCAGATGAGGGGTAAGAAAACTCTGGGAAGAAAATCTAGCTGAAAGTTTCCCTGGGTTTGCTGATTTTTTTTTTGAGTTTGAGTTTTGAGTTGGAGTCCCACTCTGTCAGTGGCACAATCACAGCTCACTGCAGCCTCGACCTCCTGACCTTGGGCCATCCTTCCGCCTCAGCGTCCCTGAATAACTGGGACCACAGGCACACACCACCACACCCAGTTAATTTTTTTTAGAGATGAGGTCTCACTATGTTGCCCAGGTTGGTCTTGAACTCCTGGGCTCAGGCAATCCTCCCAACTCGGCCTCTCAAAGTTCTAGGATTACAGGTGTGAACCACCATACCCAGTTGGGTTTGCTAAATTTTGTCTAGGTCATCTTCCTTGGTATTTGGGGAAATTTTCATGACTGTTGGCCCTGGAAACCATAATAATCATATCCAGAAAGTGTCTGGGCCATTTTTTCAGTCAGCTCTCACCCTGAATGAGCTTAGAAGACTAGCTTTTATTAATTTAGCAAACCTACATGGAGCACCTACTACATGCCAGACACTGTTCTAGGCACTTGGAATACACCCCTGAGTGAACAAGATCCCTGCCCTCATGGAATCAGCTTCCCAATGAAGACAGACAGCAAACAATAACTATAATAAAGAAGTGGATGGGCCTAGCACGGTGGCTCAGCCTGTAATCCCAGCACTTTGGGAGGCCGAGGCAAGAAGATTGCTTGAGCTCAGGGGTTCGAGACCAGCTTGGGCAACTTGGTGAAACCTCATCTCTACAAAAAAAAAAATCACAAAAACTAGCCAGGCATGGTGGCATGCATCTGTAGTTTCAGTTACTTGGAAGGCTGAGGTGGAAGGATCACCTGAACCCAGCATGTCGAGGCTGCAGAGACCATGAGTGTGCCACTGTACTCCAGCCTGGACGATAAGAGTGAGACTTCAACTCAAAAAAAAAAAAAAAGAGAAGTGGATGATATAAGGGTGAAAACTATGGAAAAAAGAAGAAAATACAGGAAAGAGAAACCATGAGTGCTGGTGGTATGGGAGGTTTGGGTTGCAGTATTAAGTAGCATGGTGACATCTGAACAATGACTCCAAGGTGGAAAGAAAGCTAGCCAAGGGAATACCAGGGGAAGAGCATCCCAGGAGGCAGGAACTGCTACAGAAAGTTCTAGAGGCCTAAGGTAGGAGCAAGTTCAAGGAACATCAAAGAACAGAAGTTGAAGCCTCGTGAGGCGGAAGAGGTAGGGATGGGGAGCAGAGTGATGGGGGGACAGATGATAAGGGGCCTTTTGAACTTTGGGGGCTTTTACTCTGAGCAAGATGGCAGCTGCCCCTGGAGTGTTTTTGAGCAGAGGAGTGATAGGACCTAACTTGAGTTTTAGAGGACTCACCCCGACAGCTGAGCAGGGTGGAAACAGGAAGCTTGGAGGCTTCTGCTCTAGTCCAGAAGGGAGATGGAGATGAGGGTGGCTCTGACCACAGGGTTAGCAGAGATGAGGGTGAGAAGTGATCTGATTTTGGACATATTTTGAAAATACAGCTGGTGATTTCCTTCAATATCAATGTGAGATGTCAAAGAGAGAGAGAGAGAGAGAGGCGTCAAGAATGAATGACTACCGACTTCTCAGCCTGAACAGTACCGTCTAGGTCTTACTCTGTTTTTTGGGAAAAACCAGGTTAGACGGTAGGGACGGATCTGACTGTGAACACGGGTTTGAAGTAAAACCCAGAACATGGCCTGCTCAGTGCCCGATGGAAGCATTAACTTGGTAAGATATCCTTGAAAAACAAGGTTTTAAGGCTGGGCTCGGTGGCTCAGCCTGTAATTCTAGCACTTGGAGAGGCCGAGGCGAGTGGAATGCCTGAGCCCGCAGGTTTGAGACCAGCCCGGGCAACTTAGTGAGACCTCATCTCTACAATGCATTAAAAAAAAAAAAGACAAGGTTTGGGATCTGAGAGACCACTGAGGTGTATCCTAGCACCTCAGGCCACAGTACAACTGTTGGGAGGAAAATCTTCCCCTTCCAACTTGGGCCCAGTAGTGGCCTGCAAATTAACGAAGAAAAGATGAATTGACAGGAGAAAAGACTAAATGTATTTACACATGCACCTGGAAGTAACTCCCCGAATGACCCAAGATGAAGGTATATACACCAAACTTAACAAAAGGGGGAGGGAGAGCTTAGGACTCCAATGGG